CCACCCTGGGTTATCCTGGGTGGATAACTCACCACCTTGGGTTATCCTAGGTGGATAACTCACTACCCTGGGTTATCCTGGGTGGATAACTCACTACCCTGGGTTATCCTGGGTGGATAACTCACCACCCTGGGTTATCCTGGGTGGATAACTCACTATCCTGGGTTATCCTGGGTGGATAACTCGCCACCCTGGGTTATCCTGGGTGGATAACTCACCACCCTGGGTTATCCTGGGTGGATAACTCACTACCCTGGGTTATCCTAGGTGAATATCTCACTACCCTGGGTTATCCTGGGTGGATAACTCACTACCCTGGGTTATCCTGGGTGGATAACTACACCACCTGGGTTATCCTGGGTGGATAACTCACTACCGTGGGTTATCCTGGGTGGATAACTCACCACCCTGGGTTATCCTGGGTGGATAACTCACTACCGTGGGTTATCCTGGGTGGATAACTCACTACCCTGGGTTATCCTGGGTGGATAACTCACTACCTGGGTTATCCTGGGTGGATAACTCACTACCCTGGGTTATGCTGGGTGGATAACTCACTACCCTGGGTTATCCTGGGTGGATAACTACCTTGAGTTATCGTGGGTGGATAACTCACTACCCTGGGTTATCCTGGGTGGATAACTCACTACCCTTGGTTATCCTGGGTGGATAACTCACTACCCTGGGTTATCCTGAGTGGATAACTCACCACCCTGGGTTATCCTGGGTGGATAACTCACTACCCTTCGTTATCCTGGGTGGATAACTCACTACCCTGGGTTATCCTGGGTGGATAACTCACAACCCTGGGTTATCCTGGGTGGATAACTCACTACCCTGGGTTATCCTGGGTGGGTAACTTGCTACCCTGGGTTATCCTGGGTGGATAACTCACTACCCTGGGTTATCCTGGGTGGATAACTCACTACCCTGGGTTATCCTGGGTGGATAACTCACTACCCTGGGTTATCCTGGGTGGATAACTCACTACCCTGGGTTATCCTGGGTGGGTAACTTGCTACCCTGGGTTATCCTGGGTGGATAACTCACTACCCTGGGTTATCCTGGGTGGATAACTCACTACCCTGGGTTATCCTGGGTGGATAACTCACTACCCTGGGTTATCCTGGGTGGGTAACTTGCTTCCCTGGGTTATCCTGGGTGGATAACTCACTACCCTGGGTTATCCTGGGTGGCTAACTCACTCCCCTGGGTTATCCTGGGTGGATAACTCACTACCCTGGGTTATCCTGGGTGGATAACTCACTATCCTGGGTTATCCTGGATGGATAACTCACTACCCTGGGTTATCCTGGGTGGATAACTCACTACCCTGGGTTATCCTGGGTGGATAACTCACTACCCAGGGTTATCCTGGGTGGATAACTCACTACCCTGGGTTATCCTGGATGGATAACTCACTACCCTGGGTTATCCTGGGTGGATAACTCACTACCCTGGGATATCCTGGGTGGATAACTCACTACCCTGGGTTATCCTGGGTGGACAACTCACTACCCTGGGTTATCCTGGGTGGACAACTCACTACCCTGGGTTATCCTGGGTGGATAACTCACTACCCTGGGTTATCCTGGGTGGATAACTCACTACCCTGGGTTATCCTGGGTGGATAACTCACCACCCTGGGTTATCCTGGGTGGATAACTCACTACCCTGGGTTATCCTGGGTGGATAACTCACTATCCTGGGTTATCCTGGGTGGATAACTCACTATCCTGGGTTATCCTGCTGGATAATTTACACATATGTTAATATGTATGATAATCGTACTTATGTGTCACTTAATAAACTTACTATGTATGACTGGGAAGCGTAAACCCGTATGGGTGATACAGCTTGTGAGAGTCAGTTTAAATCCTCAATAATTGATGATAACAGTAGTTCCTTGGATCAAGATCCGTCAGGGTGATGACCAAGGCACCTTAATGTATGATATGCATCACAAGAAGTGTTAAACCCGCACGGGGAGGGGGAGAGAGAGTCACAAATATGAGAGATAAAGGAGAGTGATCACCAGCTGGTGTTGTTGTCCAGGTCACTGTGTTCTAACATCTACACTTAATTATACAAATATTATATACAACTTCTATCATCTATTATATACATTACTTATAATATACATCACTCTTATATACACTATTGGTATTTTTCACCTCCTAATGTATACCATCAACACTAGTTCAGGGAATTTTATTAATAAAATGTGTAATTTAAGGTAGAGTTTCGGAGGAAGTGTTGACTGGCAACTTCAACTTTGATCTAAAAATAACAAAAAAAAGGCACAATACCGTGACTGGAACGATACACAAATAACCCGCACATATAAGAAGCTTACGACGACGTTTCGGTCCAAGTCTTAAACATTGACAAAACCTACTTCATTCAGTTTGGTAACAGAGCTACAGATATCCCTCTTAACACAATAATAAACGGATCACCTAAACAAAACTCACAGAAGGAAAATTCCTAGGAATCCACCTTGATAATAGACTCAAATTTCAAACACATATACAACAAATTTCCAACAATATGTGAAGTAAAAGGACACAAGTGCAACTAATGTGACATTTATTGTGGCAGAGAGTGAACACTGAAACAAGCTGCCTCTTTCCAGTCTATATTTGTCCAACCTATTTTTATGTTACCCAAGTAATAGCTTTTATATCCTTTTACTCATGTACGAATTAATTGCTCTACCATATTGTATTAATTTTGTCACTACTACTACTACTACTACTACCACTAGTGAACATCGAAATGGTACCTCACTAGTATTGCACCTCACTCTGAGCCTTTATATACCCTCTGTGTCCATGTATTGTTTGTAATGGCTTGATAAAGCTCCTGGAGAGCGAAACGTTGCCACAATAAATGTCACATTAGTTGCACTTGTGTCCTTTTACTTTACATATTGTCGGTAATTCTACCAACTTTATTACAACAAATTTCCAAAAAAAATTCCAAGACCGTAGGCATACTATCGAAGATACGGTACTATGTTCCACAGTCAGCCCTCCTGGCCCTATATCACTCACTTATTTACCCCTATCTCACCTATGGAATTTGTGCATGGGGCTCAACAACAATTAACCATCTCAAACCACTAATTACCCAACAAAAGGCTGCAGTCAGAATAACAAATTCCCACTACAGGCAGCACACTCTACCAATATTCAAAACTCTAAACCTACTCACCATACAAAACATCCATACTTATTACTGCACCTATTACATACATAGAACACTTAACTCTGACATAAACCCTCCCCTCAAACATCTCCTTGACAACCTCAACAGAACACATGACCATAACACAAGACACAGATCACTTTTTGATGTTCCTCGTATCCATCTCACACTATGCAAAAACTCATGAACATAAAAGGCCCTAAAATCTGGAATTCATTACCTGTAAATATAAAAGAAACACTACCTGTTTATAAATTCAAGTCTCTTCTCAAAGATCACTTACTCACCCAAAACCAAATAAATACTGAATAACTGAACCTTATAAATTGTATATCTTAAATGTTTCTCACAATTATATCACATAAATATTAAACCTAAGACCCAATCTAACTTTGTTATTTTTTAAATACACTACCTAACAGAATACTCCATTCTACTGAATGTACAACAATGCATGCAACCATATGACCTGTGTTTGTAAGCTTGGAGGGCTGGAAAAACTGCAAAACGAAGCAATGAGGATCATCCTAGGATGACCTCGTACTGCCAAAATTTTAAATATGCGAAAAGAACTTAATATTCCAAGCATTAGAGATCGTGTTACTGAAAGAAATATCCTTATTGGGGTCAATATGCTTAGGCTAGCCCATTCAAACCCCTGCACAGAAGCCCTCCAAACTTTCCTCAGCACTGGTGAACATCCTTCCAGATGGATCGAAAAAACTGGAACCGACCTCCGCATGAACCAGCTACATGATCTATATCAAGTTAGACAACAGAGACATTTCCCTGCTCCATGGGATATTACCCCATTCCAAACTACCATTCCTCCATTTCTCCCCAAAACTCTTCTTAAATCACAACCAAAGCTTCGTCTTGAAGCCAAACATGATGCCTTAAGCTGTATTGATAACTTAGTCACACAGAAAAATCTTTCACAAATTATTTACGTTGATGGTTCTGTTCACCAGTCCACTGGTGCAGCTGGTAGTGCAGCTGTTGTCACACAGAGTGATGGCTCTCATAAAGAAATTGGAGCACGCATCAATAACTGGACCTCTACCCTTCAAACAGAACTGTTTGCCATACTCCTTGCACTCAAATGTGTCCAAGTATCTAAGGTTGACACTTTAATTGTAACTGATTCTCTGTCATCCATAAATGCTCTCAACTCATTAAGTATAAATTGTGGCATGCTTGTGTCAGGAGCCAGACACAGGTATGGTAAGATTGTGGACAGTGGAGTCAGAGTGCACATGCTGTGGATTCTATCTCACATTGGTCTTCAGATGCATGATAGAACTGATAAATTGGCTAAGCTGTATGCTTTCAAAGAGGGGGTAGATTACAATCTTGGGTTGTCAGTTAACAGTTTGAGAACAATAATACGAAAAGAACTTCAAATGAACTTTATTGACTTAAGACTTAGGGAGATTGACACAAGTCAGTCCATCTATCATCATTCCATCATGCAGGAGGAGCCACATGTCTATGGTGCATCCAACAAGATAAGCAGACTCTTGGATGTCACTACTGCCCGGCTCCGACTGTTTTACAAGTATCTTTTTATTTTTATTATCACACTGGCCGATTCCCACCAAGGCAGGGTGGCCCGAAAAAGAAAAACTCTCACCATCATTCACTCCATCACTGTCTTGCCAGAAGGGTGCTTTACACTACAGTTTTTAAACTGCAACATTAACACCCCTCCTTCAGAGTGCAGGCACTGTATTATTCGCTGCCTGACTACGGTGGAGTGAGGTTGTGCTCAGCACCCCTCTGTTGTTTTTCAGGCGAGCTACCCCAGTACATCAACAACCATTGAGTAGTGTGGACGTGCGCTGCTCATTTTGGGATATCAAAATGGCTGAACATACAGTACGGAGAGTAAATACTATCTGCATAGAGCTGGTTCGTGGTACGTTAAGTGGAGATACGATGAACGTACTTCTCCCTAACATCATCAGGGACACATATGGTATCCCCAACGAGGAATTATATGGCGTCGCTCTTAATGGTTTGACAAGAATCTTCGTGAAATTTCTGAAAGCCGGCTTCTACACAAGAATTGTCGAGCAGTACCAGGAACAACGCATGAGTGTGAATTCAGCGATGGATGTTGTGTTACATGATGTTTCTAAGTACTTCACATGGGTGAAGGTACGGAATGTACCCTTCGAGGCTACGGCGTATGGACTACAGGAGTTTTTTTGCAGTTATGGGACAGTGCATTCTGCAACCATGGGGGTATGGAGGGATGGTCCGTATGAAGGAATGCCGGAAGGTTCTTACACCCTTAAAATGTCTTTAACAAGGCCTATACCATCCTATGTAACGATGACCGGTTGTAGAACACAGGTTTATGTGTACTATGCGGGTCAGAGAAAAACATGTCGTCTGTGCAGCTCTTATGAGCACATGGCAGCCCAGTGTCCTAGGAGGCGGGCTCCTCGAATTCTGGAAACGCCGATTGTGATACAACAGTCGTGTGATTTGGTGCCTGGCTCTGTTGCCTCGGGAGGCCATCTCTGGAGCGTGGAGGTCGACCGGGAGGTGGCGGAGGAGGAGACGTGTGTCACTATCCCAGGGGAGTCGGGGGAGTCGAAGGTGTTATCTGAGGAGTCTTTAGTCCAGGAAGCTTGTAGTGATACTGGTCCTGTGGGGAGCAGCAGCAGGATAATACTGCACCACCTCTAGGGGCCCTTAACAACAACAACAGTTTGGCGTGCGTCATGGGCACCAACATATGGTGTGTGATTCTCTCCTACTTTATCCATTTATCACCGATGCAGATTACATGGTGAGTTTAAATATGTGGCCTGTAGTTATAACTTTTCTCTTGACATATGCAAGACATCACCATCCCTGTAGAAGCCATTACTAGATGTACTAGTCATTATATTTTGTTGTTGCAGAAGTACTATGAAGATTCTATGTTCAATAAAGCCTAGAGATAAGGCCTGTGTTTCTATCACAACAATTTATTGAACATAGAATCCTGGGCTACCTGGTGGTGATCCTGCGCTAGACTACATCACAACATGGAGCGTTTACTGAAACCTGAGAGGCTAGACTGTGACCCCAGCTTATCAACGGCTGCTCAGGAATGGAAGCACTGGTTTAAGACTTTCGAAAACTTCTTGGGAGCCCTTCCTAAAGAAGATCTAGATAAACTAAGTCTGCTCATCAATTTTGTGTCACCTAAGATATATGAGGCTATTTCTGAGTGTAATACCTACGAAGATGCTATCAAAACCCTCAAGTCTCAGTATATTAAACCTACAAATGAAATCTTTGCACGCTATCGCTCGTGTGCACATGTCCGTGCGTGCGCCCTCGTGTGTGTATGTGCGCGCGCGCGCTAGTGTGGGTGTATGATCCACTTAATATTTGTATTTATAACTCATTACAATTGTGACCAGGTGTGGACGTATCAGTGGTTCATTACTTTGTAATTTGTTCATGACTGTAACCATGTATAGGAGTGAAGCTGATTCATTACCTCTGTAACTTGCCATGATTAGTGACCAGATCTACCTGGAGTTCATTACCTTTGTAACTAGTTCAGCTGTCATAACTTTGGGGTCCAGTCACTGGACCCATTATGTACCTTTGTAATCTTTTGACTACCGCCCACAGGATGGGTATGGGGTGCATAAAGATATTAAACTAAAGGTGTGTGTGTGTGTGTGTGTGTGTTGTGTGTGTGTGTGTGTGTGTGTGTGTGTGTGTGTGTGTGTGTGTGTGTGTGTGTGGTGTATGTGACTCAACAATCAATATTTGCACCAATAACTCATTACAGTTGTGACCGGGTGTGGAAGTGTGAATTGCTCATTACTCTATAATTTGTTCATGATTGTAGCCAAAGTATAAACGTAAGTAACCATTCTACAGAATTCATTACCTTTGTAACTTGTGAGCTCATTACCTTCGTACCTAGTTCAGCTATCAAAACTTTGGGGGCCCAGTCCCTGGACCCATTACGTACCTCTGTAATCTGTAAATACCTTTGTAACTTGTCATGATTGTGACCAGACTTACCTGGAGTTCATTACCTTTGTAAATTGTGAGTTCATTACCTTTGTAAATTGTGAGTTCATTACCTTTGTAAATTGTGAGTTCATTACCTTTGTAAATTGTTAGGTTCATTACCTCTAACTTGCTCAGCTATCAAAACTTTGGAGTCCAGTCCCTGGACCAATTAGTACCTCTTTAATGCTTTTGACTACCCCCACAGGATGGGTATGGGGTGCATAATAAACATATAAACTAACTAACTATCGCCTAGCAACCGCCGCCAGCAGATTGATTGAGTCCTTAGCGAGGAATACTTTTCAAGAGCACTGAAAATTTTAGTAAGGACTGTCACTTTCCAAGCAGTGACAGCTGCTCAAGTAATGTGAAGAGATCCCATCAGGGATGCTTTTTATCAGTGGCCTGCAATCACCGATAATAAGGCAGCGTTTATTGGAGAATAAAACTCCGACTAGCCGCTGACTTTGACCAGGCAAAGCTCATAGATTCAGCCCTGAAGATTTCTGAAGGTATAACAGACCACTCAGCGCCTTCTCGATGGTAAGTGCTTGCAATTCCTAACCAAGACTCATGCAATGAAGTACTGGGGAACTTGCCTCAGTGGACCAGCAGCAGCAGGTACGGTGTGTTTCTTTTGTGTTTTTCAAGACACCACGGTCCAAAGTTCCCTGCACGTTAAGCAATGTGCCATAAATGCCACAAGAAAGGTCACTTGCTAAGTAGTCGTGCTAATCATCAACAAGAGCTGAGTGACCTCCACACATTCCCAGTGATCATGCGACTCTAGCAACAGTGACTTTCTGCGGCTACTTCCAAATCACTGTCAAAGGCAGTTGTAAAGTATTCAATCAGAGGAACAGAAGTAGATGGTCTTATTGATTAGTGGCAGCTCAAGAGTTTCCATCAACCTTGACTTAGTTAAACGGGCTCTCCTTGACTCTACAATCACTCATCAGGTACCGTTTCCATGGCATCAACATCTCTCTCTATTTAATCAGGAACCTTAGGTTTTTGGAGTAAATCTCCAGAGTTTAATGAAAGGATTATCAAGATGTACATTTAGCTATTCTGCCACAACTGTGCTCGATGTTATCCTTGGTCAGGACTTTCAGAAGCTGCATGGTAGTGTCACCTTAATCATATTGAGGTGAACTGCCTCCTACTTGTTGTCTGTGGACTTAGCACTTTAAGGGTAGACCCACCAAAGCTGTTTGCAAAATCTTACCGCGGAATTGCCACCTTATCAGCTAAGTCACGCCGCTATTCTTAAGAGGATCGGATGTTTCATTGGAGAAAGAAAGTCAGAGGCTGCTGAAGGAGGGTATTATAGAACCGAGAGTGATTCCCCTTGGCGTGCACAGGTTGTTGTTGTTTAAGATTTGGGTTTTAGGGGAAACGGAGACTGGCTATCATTATTCTGAAAGACAATCAACAAAAATTTCACTTCTTGATGGGGGACCCTCTACCTGAATTGACGATACAGTGAAAAAAATTGCTCATTACTTTTGGTTTTTTTTTAGCACAATTGATCTGCAGAGTTTTCCTATCATCAAGTCCCTATGGGGGAAAAAATAAAAAAAACCCAAAACAGCGTTTTCAGGAAGTGATGGCCTGTAAAACAGTTTCCCCGAGTCCCTTTGGGACACCAATGGGGGTCTGCTTTCCCAAAAAAAATTATGGATTTTACTTTATTCAGGAAGGAAAAACAACTCATGGGAAAAATTACGGGGGGGTTTTTAAAAATGTTTTTCCTTTGTGGGGAAAAAACCCCGGGGGGAACTGATGCAAAAAAACCTTGATAAGTTTTTAAGGGGCCGCCAAGGAAAAAAATATCAGTTACAATGAAAAAAAATGCAACTTTTTCAACAAAAAAAGGCTTTTGCATCCTTGGTTTGTAGGGAAAGGGAGGTTTTAAAAATTTTCCCCGGGGGGCCCGAAAAAAGACTAGGACCTCTTACGGGAAAAAATTCCAATGCCTCAAGAAAAAAAAAAATTCCAAGGAAAAAACTTGGTCTCTTTTGTTATTCTCACAATGGGGGTCACCCAAAAAAATTCAAGAAAAAAATCCGCCCTTTGAGTGCTACCACATTTCCCGTGACAAAGGGAAGCAGAAGCCGCTTTTCCCTTTTCTCTCCAAAAAAAGGGGGCATTGAAAAAAAAATTAGTAGTTCAAAAAAACCCCTTTATGAGTTCCTTTTTTTTTTCGGAAAAAAAGGGGGCAAACTGACATTTCCATTTTTCTGCATCTTATCTCAGGGGAGGACGACCATAAAACTTCTTTTTTGGGGAAACTTTTTTTAAGGGAAACAGAGAAAAATGTTTGTGCTGTAGAAAAAAGGAAAAAAAAAACCCCCGGCCATCATAGAAAAAGCGTTCGCCCCTGGAGGCCCTTATTTAAAAAGGGAGGGGCATTTCACCTAAGGGGGCTGGGGGCCAAAAGGTCCGTTTTTGTAATTTTTTCGGGGGCCCCCAAAAGGCCCAAAAAAAAGGGGAGGGATTAAAAAAGGAAAAAGACAAAAAATATTACGCTGGAGGTGGGAAAAAAAAATTCGTGTTATGCTTTGATATTTTTTTGTTACCGACCGGGGGCAAAAGAAAAACATCTCACCTGATGCTTTTTCTAGGGCCCACTGTGGACAGCATGCATGATTTGCAATCATCTCACTCTCACACAAGGCAATGTGTCACCCAGGAGTTACACGCCTGTACCTTTCTTTGGTCAAATCAGAAGAACATTCCCTAACTCAGTGAAGATGTGCGGCAAGTGATCAGAGCATGCAGAGAATGTGCAGAGTGCATCCAAACATTCATCAGCCAGAGAAGACTCCAATCTCATAAATCCCCAGCCCATTCGAAAGATGAGATATAATTTCAAAAGACCTCTACCAAGGCACAAACAGAATAGGTATTTCCTTAACATAGAGATGAATAATCAGTGTTTCCCTTGTATTCCCTGTGCAAATATGGCTGCTTACACGTTATAAGTTGTCTTTCCACAGTTGTTCTCTATTTTTGGTATGCCAGCATATATCCATTCAGACAGGGGTCCTCGTTCATGAGTAACGAACTTCAAGAGTTTTTTGGCTAGCAAAGGTATTGCCTGCAGCGAGAACAACCAGCTACAACCCTCAGGCAAATGTCTAGTGGAGCGGTTCCAATTGTACTATAAGTGAAGGCATTACAAGAACAATAAAGTCTCTCAATCTACCTGTCAACACGGCAAAACTTTCCCTATCCTGATGCTCTTCACTCTATTAGATCACTGCTGTTCACAGCTAACTAATGCAACCCCACATTAAAGACTCCTCAACTATTCACGTCACGTCGTTCCTCTACGGGAGCCTCCTGCCCACTTGTTATGTCCATCTGGACCCGATCACCTGAAGAGTCACCGTAGGATGACAAGACAGTGATCCTTTAAGTGGTAAGAGGTAGAGCTCCTGCAAGCTATTCCCACATTACGCCCACATTCGCTACCAAAATTGGTGAAGAGAACTTACATATCTACAAGACATTAGCCCCAGATTAAAAATCCCAATTAGTGTTGGAATCTCAAATACACCAAAATATGTGAAAGATGCTCTTCGTTTCCTCTCTTGAAAGGCCTTGAGACAACCCCTATGGAAATAGAGGATTCTGCTCCAACATTAATCAAACCCCGCTGAAAAATTTTTTTATCGAACCTGGTGAAGAGGCTCAAGGGCTTCGAAGGTCGGGACGTGTACGTCGCCCACCTAAACAGTAAGGGAGGATTACTGTCTCCTGATATTTTAGAAGGGGAAGAATTGTCGTGATACTGTCGTGGGGAGCAGCAGCAGGATTAATAACTGCAACCACCTCTAGGGCCCTTAACAACAACAACAGTTTGGCGTGCGCATGGCAACCAAACATATGTGTGTGTGATCTCAAACCTACTTTATCCATTTATCACCGATGCGATTACATGGAGAGTTTAAATATGTGCCTGTATTTATAAACTTTTCTCTTGACATATGCAAGACATCACCATCCCGTAGAAGCCATTATTAGATGTACTAATTCATTATATTTTGTTGTAGCATAGTACATGAAGATTCTATGATCAATCTAAAGCCTAGAGATAAGGCAATGTTTTCTATCACAACAAAGCTTCTGACTCAGGAGGATTACTTCCGCAGATTGTCATCCAAGGATTTTTTGGATGAGGAGGAGCCCAGTGGCAGAAGGTG